ATTCTGACATTAATTTTATAGGCCTGCCATTATTGTAGCTAGATTCTGAGATTAATTATTGGTATAGGCCTGCCATCATTGTTGCTAGATTCTGAGATTAATTATTGGTATAGGCATGCCATCATTGTTGCTAGATTTTGAAATTAATTATTGGTATTATATAGGCCTGCCATTATTGTAGCTAGATACTGAGATTAATTATTGGTATAGGCATGCCATTATTGTTGCTAGATTCAAAGATAAACAATTGGTATAGGCATGCCATTATTGTAGCTAGATACTGAGATTAATTATTGGTATAGGCCTGCCATCATTGTTGCTAGATTCTGAGATTAATTATTGGTATAGGCATGCCATTATTGTTGCTAGATTCAAAGATAAACAATTGGTATAGGCATGCCATTATTGTTGCTAGATTAAGAGGTTAATACACGGCAGGAGAGGGCCGGAAGGTGATAATCGGCCCGCAAAATGAATAATGAACCAGAGGGCTTTAGCCCGAGGGCCATTATTCATTCAGGGCCGATTATCACCTTCCGACCCTACGCTGACGTGTATTAATGTCTTTAATACACTTGGTAGATCTAATAGTAGCATTAAAAAAAAATAAAAAAAATAACATAAACATAATCAAAACAAATAGACTTTGAAGTTATTTCGTTGAAATTCTTGTTTACTCTTCTACTGTTATGTACAGAGATGTGTTATGTTTGTGTGTTCAAAGCAGTAGAAGCAAGAAGCAAGTTTTATTTTCATTTTTTTTTCGGAATGAATTTGTCGTATTATTTCTTCAAATTTCAATAGTAACAAAAATTGTTTGTACTAAATACGCTTAAGGTCTCATAATAAAAATAAAACGATTCGTGCTGACAACCTATTTTCACTTTTACAGTTAACTGTTTGATGACGTTAAATGTGACGTCATTGTTTCAGTTTGTGCACGTGCACATGTTCTGCGGGCTGATAACTAGTTCTCGGCCCCGGGCCGCAAACTCATAATAGGTCACGTGACACTCATAATCAGTTGAAATCATAGGCAATTTTGTTACTTTATATTGTAACAAGTGTATTAATCAAAGATAAACATTTGGTATAAGCATGACGTTATTGTTGCTAGATTCAAAGATCAACCATTGGTAAAGTCTAGCCATTATTGATGCTAGAGATTCAAATATAAACCATTGGTAAGATCCAGCCAGTATTGATGCAAGATCCAAAGATAAACCACCATTGGCATCGGCTAGCCATTAGGCCACAGAAAATTAATCTTTAGACTCTCATCCCAGCCCGCCCGTATCAAAGTCTTTCCGCCCCAAAATAATTTATTTTCATAAAAAAAAAATTGTTTGTTTCCAGGGTTCCCTCTGGGTCAAAATTAGTTTCATCTTCACATGTTCCAGAAGTGTCACACAATTGATGACATAATTGATTATACGGTACCCGATTACAGTAAAGACTGTCTTAGCGACCCCCTGTATATAGCGACGTTCTGTCTATAGTGACCATAGTTAGGTGTGCCGAACAGTATTTACTATATAAATGGTCTGTATGTAGCGACTCCCTGTCTAGTCCGTACAACGACCATGATTTAGTCACCCGTTACGGTATTTGAGCCGTGAACAGCGACTTTTGCAAGGGAGCATGGCTTGAACTAGGTGACGACTTTGGCGAAGAAGTCGCCTTCGGATCAGCGACTTTGTTTCAGTCGCCCGATTTTTATAATTTTCCGTCATACTTATTTACGCCGCTAGGTCTGTTAATAATTTGTTTACCTCTCAATTACAAGCAATTACCGTTAATCCGCTAATTAAGAACGCGTGTCAACATCAACAAAGTTCAATACACGCCGCAAGGCAGAGCTCACTATGTTTATCTTTCTCATTACGTATTCATGCGATTGACGAATCAGAACGCGCGTTGTATCTACGGCAGTTTGCATTGACCAATCGGCGACACGCTAATACACGGTGGCTGTTTGTTGACAATTACACAATATGGCGACAAATTCAATCAATTTTCGCCGATAAAATGATTAAAGACACATGCATATACATAATTGCTGTGGTGTTTTGGCGAGTAAAGATAAACAATGCCAAACGTCTTAAAGATGTGGTTATGTTTGAAACCTCGATTGTTAGTTTTTTTCGGAGCACTTATCTGTAGAAATTATGTGGAGATTTGTATCTAATGTTTTATTAATACATTGAACTCCGTAAAGTACAGTAAACAGGTTGATTATACAAAATTAAATGTCTCTACAGTAACATCTCATTAGTAAAATTGAAATTAAACATTTTTTTACAAACAGATTTATCAATATAAATTACATTTTAATGAATATGTAACTTTTAGATACTAATGTTATGGTGTAGTTTATAATCTTAACCAATTATACATGTAATTCTAGCTTAAACCCTTAGTATGGTTCTATCCTGCTTTTCAACAAAATATTGGTATGATATGTTCATATATCCGAATTATATAGAGACTGTCCACAGTGACTCCCTGTCTATAATGACCTTTTTTCTTTTCTCCCATCGAAGGTCACTGTAAACAGTCTTTACTGTATACAGATTGATAAACAAACTAATAGTGCGTGACCTTTCACATTTGGGCCGCTTATGTAATTGACGCGGCCGCTTATGACATTTAAGTGTACTAGTTGTCGGATGCTTTTATCTTACGTTGGCGCCAGTTAAATTCGCAAATTAAAGATTTTATGCGCCAGAATTAATATTATGTCGCATTTGAAGCCATTGGCGATCGACATCGGGAACCCTGCATTACGCAGACGTCTGTGGACGAAAATTCGTCCGAAAATCGTGGTTGAATATTCGCGGGATGAACACATAAAAATCAGACTGAGGTTTACAGCGTCTAGTGATCAAGATTTTAAATACGTTCGTTTTCGATCAGTAAAATTGTCAAAATGTTCGTCATATGTGAAATATATGATGCAGTAAACAAGAAAACTGTTTGTGATTGGTTTGGGTTTAGTTTTAAACAAAATCTGGGTGGAAATGATGCAACGTTCATAATTATATTCATACATTTCCTTTTTTTTTTCAGGTCTTAAAAGTGCTGGATAAAATAAACATTATAAATTATAAATTCCACCCACCCGCCCCAATTATTTTTTGAACCTGGATGAGAGTCTAAAGATTAATTTTCTATGGCCTTACTTATACTTGGATAAAACATCTTAATTGTATTGCTGGCATACACAGAAATCTTGTAAAAATAATAATCTTCGACTGTTCATGATGACAGTTGATGAAACGAAAAACACTTTTGATGCATTTAATTATATAATATATTTTTAATATCTCAAACACCACACAGTATGATTATTACAATTATTATTAATAATGTTACAGAAATGATTTCAATGAAATTTAAATGTCACAATATTAAAATACATTCAAGGTAGAATAAAAATGGTAAAACTTGAAAATGTCAATAGGCTAATCAGTCAGACACGACTTGTTTTATTGTAACATATGATTTTGCTGACAAAGACTTGACACACATGTTTTGAACTCGCTCTTAGACTATAATTAATCTAGTTTAATGAAATCCTGTTATAATCAATGTTTTATAGCATAATTCCTTGTAAGTTAAACATCCCTGGAACACTTTACAGAACTTTAACAAAAACTCAAAAAACATGCTATTTCTGTTTAAATTCAATTTTTATGCCTAGACAAAATAAAGTTCTCAAATTAATGACTGATTGATGATTGATTGATGCAACAATCAAATAAATGCTTAAAGGCCCATTATGCCTCAGAAATACTTTTATCTTTATTTATCTATTTTTTTTCTTCCTTTTTTGACCTTTTGTAGTTTCCAAAATGGTACTTGTTGGCCAATTACCTGAACCATCTTTTGCTTCTATTGCTTTTTGGAAATAAGTCAAGTTAAATTGATTTGTTTTTTTGTATGGAAGTCAAAATACTACTTAGTTTACATTTTTGTTACTTTTATGACAGGCAATTTTATAAATTTATATTCAGAGCTTCTTTCTCCAGGTGATAATTATGTAACATGCTCTAAAACTATTAATTAAATATCATAAAACTCTTATCTGCCCTTACTTGAGACAGAAAAACTTTATTTGTTTCTTAGGCATAATGTGCCTTTAAATAAATGCTAGTGAGGACAGTTTAAGTGAAATAGACTATCAGAGATTCTTCAAATTTTGAAATTCACAAGTAGGGCAAAGACTAAATAATAAACCCTCCTAAATTCAATATCAAAGTCTATAGAAACTTTCAATTTTCCTTTTTATGATATAAATACATTTTTATGATATAGTCCTGACATATATAAATTTTCCTTTTCTAGTCTCTTCAAAATACAAATTTTTTTCAATAAAATTTTTTCTATGAAGTCTTATTTTAATATTTTTGTTATTATTTTTGAAAATTGATGAATTTTCCATTTCTAGGCTCCAGTAAAACATTTATAAAATTTCTACACATGACTTTAGTAAATTCTGATGAAATGTTTGGTTTAAGTGGTCATTTTCAAAGGTAAGCATATATTTTGACTGTCATGTACAAATCGTATATTTTTTCTTGAACATATCAGACACCATACCATTACAGTAAAACGTGTTAAAGACCACCTCTGAATAAGGATCACCCTGTCAATTAAGGCCACTCTTGACCTATCCTTCACTGATTTAATAGATTATAAACACCTCTAAATAAAGACCACTTGTCCATACAGGTCATTATCAATTTATTCCTTGAATGACCTCTATTCACAGGTTTGACTGTACAAAGTCTTCTGATATGAAACTGGGTTTTAATACATGAAAACAATACTGAAATCTATCACAGATAGGCTAGTATATAAACTATATATTAAATAGTGTCTATATCATGAGAAAGAATGTCTTCAAACAGAAACAGTTAAACATAATCTTTTATAAACTGTTTCTGGGAAGATGATGTGCAGTTTTCTTGGGTTTTTCCAAAGTTTTACTTGTGTACCTGTCCAACAGAGCTCTACAAATAGCAAACATGTCATTTTAATGTTAACACCATCATGTATCCATGACACTGAAATTCTCTTCATCAAGTCACGGAATTGATTCTTAACTTAATGGATATTGACACTCTTATAAAAAAATATACCCTGTATCAATGGAATATTAAGTATAAATTAAAAAAAAGAAACATTAAAAATAGAAACAGATTTTTATCTTCTTGAAAATAAAACTTAACCATAAACAACTGGATCAATTGTACAAAGCAATAGTTATTAACGACTCTTAGATGTTATCTATCATAAAAAGAGATAAAATGGGTTAATCATAATAAAAGAAATTTTTATTATCTTGAATTATGAAAGAAAAAAAAACACCCTTAAAATGCATGCACATACAAGCATAAAGATTAATTTAAAAAGGTAAATTGGTATTATTCTTAACAGTATAATTATAAAGTAATATAGTTATATTATTACTGAAATTTGAATGAATTTGGTTAAATTAAAAAAAAATTAAAACTGACAACCAGTCTAAAACTACAGCAGCTGATTGGCTGAATTCTATTTACAAAATTTGAAATTGGCCAATGGCAAGGCTGTTTGTTTTAGTCTGGTTTCCATTCTTTTCTATCTTTGAAATCATTACTTATAACCATACAAAGGGATGTTAAATAACAGGTTTCTTACTTATTTATAGAAAAGTCATACAAAGAGCACCCATAGCACCATTTTATTTATTTTATACATTTTCTTTCCCATATGAGTGACTAAAACTACACAAATAGAACCTGGAGATTGGTAGAAGTATAATATTTAGAGAAAGAAATCAAATTACCAGGGAATTTTTAAGTTTCTCAAAATCCTATAATAAAAAAGCAGTCATTCCTTTAATAAAAAAAAGCGGGGAAACAAAAAAAAGCATTTTAACATGAAATTAAAATTCAGATTTTAAAGTATTTTAACTTAACATCAAAGGAAAATACTCGTCTAAATCCAATTAGATACAGTGTACCTATTCTAGCATTGAAATATTGATTAAACATGCAAAACTCTTAACTTGATTTAATTTTAAATACATATAATCTTCAGAAACTTCTAAATAAAAGGACACTTTCATGTAACAAAATTTTGTGACAAACTTGCTTCACTGAAAGGTGATGATCAATAAATATGTCAGTGAAAAATTTTAAGAAAAAGCACAAACATTAATGAAAATTCTGGTGTGATTGGAAGGATTTGTTAGAAATAAAAATCTTAAAAGAACCAAAAATAATGAAAATATATTAAAGCCTGGGAGCCAAGCAGTTGTATTATGAACGATTACATGGCCACACAAAACAAAACTGGTTACTTACTCTAATCTGAGTAGGTTTTTTATTTCTCTCTTCCTCAATGTCCTAATTAAAATATAGCTCAAATATATATTACATACTAAGAACTATGTTAACACTACTCATATATAAACATTATTAATCAATAATCAACACTATCATTATTATATAAATATTATTCATCAAAAATCACCACTTTCAGGGTCATATGATTATTATTAATCAATAGTCACCACTGTCAGGGTCATATGTTCATTATTAATCAATAATCACCTCTTTCAGGGTCATATGTTCATTATTAATCAATAATCACCACTTTGAGGGTCAGATGAACATTATTAATCAATAATCACCACTTTCATGGTCATATGTTCATTATTAATCAATAATCAACACTACATGTATCATGATTAATCAATAATCACCACTTTCAGGGTCAGATGAACATGATTAATCAATAATCAACACTATCATGATTATCAATAATCAACACAATCTGGGTCATTAAGGATAACAGATCCTAATAAGTATGAAAGAATTCCACAAAAGAGTTCATAATCCTTAAAACAGATAGCACACCCTATTTGGCTCAAAGATTTTTCAATATGGGTAAGTCCAAGTTATTGTCATAATAAATACTTGATGTTTTAAATTTAGAACTTGCCACTGTTTTGTACAGTACTAAAATATGAAAATTATATAACCACATACACAAAGTCTGGACAGATTGCACAGATGTGCACGCCGGTCCGGCTAAACATAAATGCTGCCATTAGACATGCAGTCTGCTTTTTTAATATGAATTTTTCTTTCCCATCATACAAGAATTTCTTTTGATAAAAGTTAAAAATAATGGACTATAATGTGTACTGCTAAGGAATCTAGATGTTTATTTTGTTTGGTTTATGGGGCAAAAACAAATTAAGATCATATGGAGCCGTAACAGGAAAGATGAATTTGGCTAGCTAAAGCACATCACAAACACAATAAAAACATGCACTCTCTACACACGCACCTATACAACACTTGAAATTTTGTGCTAGTGCATAAAAAAATTAAATTGCAGTAAAACTCAGTGTAAATTTACCTAAATCAGAACTTTTATCCTTTTTATACAATTATATATTACTATTTAAAGTAAAAGATGCCTTTGGAAACTTACACATTCTTTTTTTTTCTTTCTAGAAAGATCACTTTTAAAACAAAAAAAACTTTCTGCTCATTTTCTAAGTTGTAAAATTTATCAGATTACATATTAAATAAATTTATCATTATGTGCTGTTAAATATGATAAAAAATTCAACATTTTTCAAAGCAACATTCATTTTGCCCTAAATCTAAAACTAAATCATACAAAGGACACCTATGTGTAGTTTATCAAAAGGCATCAAAAAAGATTCTAAAAATAGTGCATGAAAGATATTTTGCTCTTTAAAAGAATGACTTCATTTACTTACATCTTTCAATGTTTGGATAAGCCTTCTTTGTTTGTCTTGCTCATATTTTGATTCATCAAGCTGCTCATTTAGTATATTTATTTCTTCCTGTAGAGCTTCTACCTCTGGCTGATGTCTGTAAATGTAAAATATATTCTGATTGACTCTTTGGAATACAACATACACATTCATTAGTTGTTTAAAAATAAATTAAAAATCTACTTATAGCTCAAATATCTGTCACATTTCCTGATTGGATAATGGTTATTCTGTATCTGTTACAAATAAACCTATTGGCTACTTGTTTATAGTTTGTGCAATTCTATTTATAGCTCAAATATATGTCACATTTCCTGATTGGATAATGGTTACTGTATATCTTAAGAGTATTGAAAAACCAAAATTTACTTCTGCAATAAAAAGTTATATGAATAAATAACTAAATAATAATCCTACTTCTCTATTTATATCTTGTATATACATGTATATTTATATCTCATTGAATATATTCAAACTAATAACTTAACAGATGAGAGATACAGGAAAATTCTATATTTCAAAACTACTTAATAAGCTACCTCATCTTATAAAACATGTAATTATATGAAAAATATTTCTTGTGAAATATTAAATTGACAATCTGCATACATTTTCATTTATAAGATATATTTTTAACAGGGAAAATACATTTTTGATATAATAACTTTGTTACACATTAACCAGTGATCATGCCATGCATAAATAATATTGTGACATCTAAACCCAAACTTCACCAGGTTCCCACTTAAATAAATACCAGGTGGAAAATTCACATTAAATATTTCATGCTCCCATAACAAATCAATTGTAAAGATTTCAACAATTAAAACCAACAAACATCATCTTGATTCTATCATAAATACAGCACTATTCAATAAATCTATGTGATTGGTTAAGATAAATTGCAGGTGCTTGATATATAGACCAATCAAAAACCCTGTAACATTAAACAGCATTATGATTGGTTAAACGTCACACATCATCCATTCACTGTAACCAATCAAAAGACAGGAAAGAAAACAAAGGAACTAAATCACCAAAACTTACTCTCTACAGCACATCCTACTGATGCATTTAAATCATGCAATTAATACCATAAAAAATAAGATACGCCGAAGTAAAGACAAATAATTATCATCTGTTGTAAAAAATATTTTCTTTTCAGAGAGCAGCTGGAGATTTAAACATTTTAAGAAAGTTTGAATCAAATTAGGTTTTACATATCATTAGACAAAGTTGCTACATCTGAATCTATGTACAGTAAACTCCACTTATAACAATATTCAGGGGACCGCAGAATTTATATCAGTATAATCCAGATATGGTTATATCTAAGAGGCAATCAATTTGAAAACATTTAGAGACAGATGGGAAAACAGCATCGTTATTAGCAGTTTTCCGTTATAAAGGAAGTTTAAAGTATCTTTTACGTTTCAATGGCATCATGCTTAAAGAAATTCTAACTAATTTCCCTTTTTCTTACCCTAAAAAAAACTAACTCAAAACTAACTCAAATCTTTGTTCGTTTTTTTCTTTTATATAATACTAATAACCTATAAGACTATTTGGAACGATGATAAGATAAAACGTAAAGTATTTCAATTACACCATTCACATTAAAGTTGTTGTGAAAGAAATCCTGTGCTAAGCTTACCTAGGTCTGAAAGTAAACAAAACAAAATAAAATAAAATAGTAATTATCTATGATAAAGTCTACAAAAGAAATAAACAAAATTAATGAAAACATGAAATTTTAAATTTAACAAAAATTAAATCACAAAATATAAAACAAACTGAAATGAATAAAAGCATCAACTAATTTGAGATTTGAGCAGGATAGAAGAAAATGGGAAATGGATGAAGAGAGCTTGGGGGGGGGGGGGGGGGGGGGAAGGCAATTCATTCGGGAAAAGGGTATCAGGGAAGGAGAGATTTTGTGTGTGCAAGGGGACAGGTGTGATGAGTTTGGAAAATGGTTTAAGTTGAAAAGGGAATATTGGTTTGGGGGATGTGAATTGAAGTAAGGAAATAGTGATGTTTACAGCAAAATAAAAGTAACGCAATACTATTCATCACCTTCATTACGTGCAATATTGAATTAGCTTGAAAATCATAAAAGCAATTGTGCTGAACAATAATTTATTGAACATGTACTAAGTTCTGTGATACCTAATTTTTACTTATTTCAAAAACATATTAAAGTTGATAACATTATATTCCGCATGTCTTAAAAATACATAAAAAATAGCTCACAGGCACAAGAACAATTCATTATGACTTTTAAAGTGAATAATTTCATTTTTCAACTGGTCTCACAAAGTGATATGATTTAAGAAGCATGCCTCCAGATGATTTTCTGGCAATATCAGAAACTAAACAAGGAAATAAATAAATCAGAATGAAATTCTCAGCCAGAAGAAATTTTCTATTGTTTGCAGTGTAAATGATAACAGAATACATCCTTTATTATATATTGCAAGTATAATATTATACTTTTTGTAAAATAGAAAGGTATAATGCGTCTGTCATGCAACAACCATATAAATTACCATTCATTTTTCATTAATACTTTTTCCCCATAAATTTATCTTTACAATATTTCATTTCACTACTTACTTAAAATCTAGAGGCATTGTTCTTTATAAAAAAGTGAAAAATTAATCTAAAAACAAACAGCATTTCTGATTATATATCATAACAAAGTGTTTGTTTCTATTGTACATCAAAGACCTTTGTGTAATGTTGGAATAATTTGAGTAATGTTGGAATAATTTGTGTACTGCTGGAATAATTTATGTACTTTTGGAATAATTTGTGTACTGTTGGAATAATTTGTGTACTGCTGGAATAATTTGTGTACTGCTGGAATAATTTGTGTACTGTTGGAATAATTTGTATACTGTTGGAATAATTTGTGTACTTCTGGAATAATTTGTGTACTGTTGGAATAATTTGAGTACTGTTGGAAGAATTTGGGTACTGTTGGAATAATTTTAGTACTGTTGGAAGAATTTGTGTACAGCTGAAATAATTTGTGTACTGTTAGAATAATTTGTGTACTGTTGGGATAATCTATGTACTGCTGGAATAATTTGTGTACTGTTGGAATACTTTGTGTACTGTTGGCATAATTTGTATACTGTTGGAATAATTTGTGTACTGTTGGAATAATTTGTGTACTGCTGGAATAATTTGTGTACTGTTGGCATAATTTGTATACTGTTGGAAGAATTTGTGTACAGCTGGAATAATGTGTGTACTGTTAGAATAATTTGTGTACTGTTGGGATAGTTTATGTACTGCTGGAATAATGTGTGTACTGTTGGAATAATTTGTGTACTGTTAGAATAATTTATGTACTGTTCAAATAATTTGTGTACTGTTAGAATACTTTTTGTACTGTTCAAATAAATTGTGTACTGTTCAAATAAATTGTGTGCTGCTGTAATTATTTGTGTACTGTTGGAAAAATTTGTGTACTGTTGAATTAATTTGTATACTGCTGGAATAATTTGTGTACTGTTTGAATAATTTGTGTACTATTGGAATAATTTGTGTACTGTTGAAATAATTTGTGTGTTGTTGGAACAACTTGTGAAGAAGCTGTTGGAATAATTTGTGTACAGGCTGTTGGAATAATTTGTGTACAAGCTGTTGGAATAATTTGTGTACTGTTAGAATAATTCTACTGACCATACAAGATAATCTGTCCGTCATTTAAAATGCATATAATTTTTTAGTATATTATTTTTGTCTGACTGCGTCACAATGACATCCCTGTGATTGAAGGGTGATGTTTATTCCCCCTTGGTTTCTCCTCCAAGTTTAATGTACAATAGAAACAAACTGTAACTATAAATTGTGAAGCATTGAATCAGACCAGAATTTACAACATTTGTGCAAAATGGGGAGTAAATAACTTGATGTAAACTGAATTTTAGAAGAAATCAGCATGATTTTAATATATACTTTCCAGAGGAAAGAGACCTATAAACAGCCCCAGAGGAAAAAATACTAGGTATATTTATAACTCAATAATTTTCTATTTCTCTCAAGATAATGTTTCTGCAAAACATAGGTACATTAACATGTGTATTTCAATTTTGAAATTCAATCTTATTCTATGCTTCACAACAAACAAACAAAATGATTTAGAATCATAGATTCACAATGAGTTTGAAAATTGATGGGCTTATAATGTTTCACATCTATTGAAAGGATATACACGATATAACCGAAAACTTACGATGACTTCCACCTAGCAAAGCAGTAAATGAAGAAATCAGTAATGCATATTCATGGGTCTTATAGGACTGGTTTCTTCTGTAGAATCAGCAATGCTTAGTGACATTTTCTATGAATATGCAGTTACCCTCACTAATTAACATGTATAAACTGTTTATTGTTTAACTTTTGAAAAGTTATAATTGTAACATATCATATTTCACCAAGTGTTTACTTTTTGATAAAAAATCAACAGTTCAACTTAAACTTTAATCCAAGTGTTGTGTTTTTCTTTCTTTCCTTTTTTTCCCCAGACAAAAAGAATTATTTTTATTATAGAAAGAGCAAAATGTTGTTCAAAATCTTTTTGACACAATTTATAATGCTTTGCCAACACAGTATTGTTAGGTATCATATTTAATTGACAAGGAGTGACTACTTTTAGATAAAAAATAACAATTTACTTCTTGACCATCAATTCAACTTCAATGAAATTCAATCTTGTTGTTGTTATTTCTTCAGATTATCACATCCTTGTGATGATCAAACACCTTGGTGCTACATATCACTTAATAATTCTTGGCTATAAAAGTGCATGTCAACAGAAACTGTTAAAACATGGTGTTTTGAAAAACACCCTAACTGTAACAGCTTTAGAATTTATCAACTACAACTTAAGTATTTCAATATTTTTGTACTTTTACAGACTAAGAAGGTAAAGTCCAATGTTTAAAATCACACATTTTTTTTTACACAATTACCATGTACTTTTAATCATAGGTGAAGTGTAACAATTTAAAATGGGTTTATATTAACTTTATCACTAATGTTAAACAGAGAATCCATTGATTTATTCACAATTATCAACGAATATCACAAAGGAAACAATTTATAAACAAGGTTAAGTCACTTAATCTATCCAGTCACTTTCACTCAACCATAATTAACCTAGATGACCTTGAAAAAAACCAAGGTCAAGATTCACTTTAACATTACAAAGGTCACTAAAGCCAAAGGTCATCCCAATGTCATTTAAATTCCATTAAAATGCCAAGAGTCAACATTATATTACATAGTAAAACCATGGTGACACTAAAGCCTGAGGTTACGTTGATGTCATTCATTGTCAAAGGCCCTTTTACATCACATTGTACAAGCAAGGTCACAAAGCCCAAGGTCACGTTAATGTCATTCACTGCCAAAGGTCACCTTTACATCACATTGTACAACCAAGGTCACAAAGCACAAGGTCACCTTTACATCACATGGTACAATTTAAGCACAAGGTCAATTAAATTTGATTTTAACTAATGTGCAAAAGACAAAAAGTTATGTCCCATAAACAACAATGTGGCCTTGTATTGGATTAGCTAATAATTATGAGCATGCAAACTGAAGAAACTTATGTACAGTGGTTATAAATTATAAATAAGTCCATGCTTATAATTTCTATAAGTTCATGCATAATTTTTTATGATACGAAAAAAAAGAGACTTTCTTAACATCATAACTAAAATTTTTATGATGTGGTGTTACTGTAAATCTAAAAAGATAAACATTTTGTTCCAAAAAAATCTAATTTAGCAGATCTGCATTGAAGTTCATACTCTTAAAACAAATCAAAGTCTATTTTACATAAAAACTGTGTTATTAGCAACTGAAAAATAAATATATTTAGCTTTAACATAAAAGAGCTCAACTGATTCAAAAGATGAATATCATGTACTTTCACCAATGATCTTTTAAATGTAATTAAAAACAAACAAGAAAAACAATTAGTTTCCCCTAGAAATATAAATATAACAATATAAATAAGCAGCAAAAACGTTGTACGCAATGAAAACAATATAGTAAAACATGTGCATAATAACATATTAAATCACAACTTATAGCATTATAATTGATCCCGCACCAATGAGCTTAATTCATAGAATTATTCCATATATGGGACACTCTTTTACTCTTTTTTATTCATTGACAATCTATAAGAATACAGTATAACCTTGACATAGCAATACCCTTTGGGAGACAATTATTTTAATTGTTGCTGAGAGGCACTGTGTGGATGTACAAAATACAAGAAACTTTATATTAAGTTGGTTTACAAATTACAAGAAACAGTAGCTAATAAACTATTTACTGACAATAATAAAGAGGTAAAATTTATAGTGAGAGAGATTAATACTGTTGTGTATGTAAAGAGATTATTTGTCTAGGAGGGTTGCTGTGCATGGGTTGTACTGTATTTTATTAACCACTTATTTTTCCTTTGACTTTTTAGTATACTTTTCTCAATATTATTTTACGCTACATTAACAGGGATTTTGTAGGAATCCAATAAAGTTTCAAATAATTTATTGAAAACCATGTAGTATCTCAAATTGTATGAAAAAAAATATATATATACATATAAATATACATTACATGCAGTAGCCATTCCCTTTGTTGCTAAGCAACATTTTCTAAATCTTCTTAAATTCCACTATGTGATATCTCATAAATACCTGCTATATAAGGTAACTAAATGTCATACAACATCATTTTCACAAAGTGTCAGACAAGTATTTTTTTTATCGTAATAATTGAAAAAACAAAATGAAAAGACTCCCCAACTATATGTAACCTACCTAAAACCATAAAAAATTATAAACAAAGTTAATAACAAAGCCATAAAAATCCATGTATAATACAAGAAGTTTCACAAAAAATATATAAACTGAAGCAGCATTTATGCTCTTTTAAAGCAAATAAAGCTGATGTCCTCCTCTACTTGAATTTGGAACCACTAGGTATCTCTTTCTTCATTATCCCTTTCAACTTGAATTTGGAAGTGTCCCCCTTCATTTGAATTTAAAAACTACCAAGTATCCATTTGTACTTGAATTTGGAAGTATCAATCTTCATTTAAATTTGGAACACACCTTCTTTTCTTGAATTTGGAACTAACCCTCTTAACTTGAATTTGGAACAAAACCTCTTTACTTAAATTTGGAAAAAACCCTCTGCACTTGAATTTGGAACAAACCCTCTTTACTTGAATTTGGAACTAACCCTAAAAGATGACTCTACTTTATTAACTATGACCAATCAAAATGCTGATATTAACTTACATGTTCATATCTCACTAGATGATAAGTGAAGATATATATTATACATGGGTTTTTATGGTAAAAGCCAACTGTTGTTGCTGCTGCATTGAACTTGCTAATGTTATAATGCATAAACTGTTATAACTGCTCTGTTTACCTGACCCGCATCGACGGGAAAAATGGCAAATGCGGTTGACCCTGAGGCTCACCACTAAAATACATATACAATTTTACCTTCAATGAATGCAAACACTTAATTTTATACTTCACAAAAATGTTCACAAAATGTTATTTTCTAGTACTGAACAGCAAAACATTTCAAAACTAGAAATGTGTCCACCAGACATGGATGTCTCCACATTCCACTGTTTTGTCAGACTTAGGACAGACACCATGATACTATCATAGTTTTGTCAGAGTTAGGACAGACATCATGATACTATCATAGCTTTGTCAGACTTAGGACAGACACCATGATACTATCATAGTTTTGTCAGAGTTAGGACAGACACCATGATACTATCATAGTTTTGTCAGACTTAGGACAGACACCATGATACTATCATAGTTTTGTCAGACTTAGGACAGACACCATGATACTATCATAGTTGTGCTTACATTTGAATACTTGTGGCTGGCTACTTGATTGTTTTCCCCTTTTAGCCACATAAAAGAGAAAACATTGCCACACAAGACCTTGCATTATAAATGAATGATATCAGAGAGAAGTACAGTTACTTATTGTTCCTGTAGCCACATCAGAATCCAAATATAAGCACAGAGGGACAGACGGACAACGGCAATTATATATATGCCTATCCCTATATAAAGTGAGGGCATAAAAAACATTAATTGAGTTAGTTTAACCACCTAAATTAATTATCATAAGCGGTACAATAAAAACACATGCAGTTTCATAGTAACAATACACACAGACACCATGTTTATAACCATACATTCTGTTTCATCATAATTATTTAAAATTCAAACATTAAAGGAACTCCACTGAAACGCTTTTCAATTTTTTGTAGTTTTTAAAATATGGAATTAAAATAAAGTGACCAGTGACCAAATGATTTTGAAATTTTCCATACAAGTTAAGGCTGTTAATTTATATATCAAATAGAACATTTATCTCGAAAAATTATTTTCAGTCCCGTCTTTGTCAAAAAACCATCAGTGGAGTCCTTTTAATAATCTACAGCGTTTAATTCTTATATATGTCCCTCACTATTAAATCATGGAACCACTAACAATTCAATCATGAAACACTTACATTAAAATAATTCACTAAACATTTAGTTGTTTATTTTTCTCAAACAGAATACAAATCTTGTAAAACAACATTTTGCAAATCTTTTTTGTTAGATATAACTGTAAACATATTAATTTAAGCAGAACAAAATTATGACCTTATGCTATTGATAGATACCAAAAATAGAGATCTTAGATAGTTTTCCTGCAAATATTCAACTATACTAACATTTTCTTTCTTATTGATACTTCAGTATCAGTTTTAGTTTGAACCCTTTTTTTTTAAAATCCTTGGCAGTGATTTACAGATACCTCAGTTTTTTGTGAGAAAAATAGAATAGAGTAATAAGGATCCATTAAATGCATACCGGTAAGTGCCCCTTTGTGCATTACTTTATTTCAGATACAAAATTGGACTAGGGTAAAACGACCAACCTTTCATTAGCTTAAGCTGGATATGAGTATCCTGGCATGTATTGAAACTTCCTGCCAGGATTCAAACCCACAGCAATGAGGGTCAAGATTTGTTATTCAATCAAGGATCCATTATTAGCAATTACATAGCATAAGTACTTATGTATAAACACAATAAATTGAAAACAATAAAAAAAACCTTCATATTCAAGGAAAAGGTCTTATTATATAGCTAGTTGTAAAAAAAGGTAGAAAATGAACAAAATAAAATTTCAAACAAAAATCTAATTTTCATATAAAAGTACTTTCACCTGCATAAATTACTATGAACGATTAAGTAAATAAATTCTGGTTATTTTGTAATGGTATGTTCTACGGGGAAAGTAATTCCAGTCACCAAGACGAATGTGATCCTAAAGATCAGTGGGAGTGGGAAATTATAAAAGAATCATATTTACACTTTAAACATAAAAGATATTGCTAAATGGTTCAAATTACTCTATATATTTTGTATTTATTTTGTATTTCTGATAAAAAAAGTCTAAGTTTCAGCAGGGATGTTCTTCCATTTTTTATCATTCTTGCATAAAAAACTTTGCTATAGCAGGTTAACAATAATGGTGAAGAAAACATGAATTAATGATTTTGTGCTAGCATGCGCCTTTGTTGGACATTTTTTAATATAAATGTGAATCAGGGGTCAGTTAAATAGCTAGTAAGTCTATTATCAAAACATACCGGTAACTGTCAAATGACATCACATGTCTTATAAAAGCATTCTGCCAATTAGTTTCAATTTCCTACCACCGGCTTAGTGGTTAAGGTGCCTGCCTCTCAACCCAGGAATCATAGGTTCAAGCTCTAATCGAGTCACGTCCATGTTTCTTCCTATGACAACACTACTGGTTGAGACTCAATGAAATCTCTCTCCTCACCCAGGGATTGACCCCCCCCCCTCCACAGCTTAACAAATCATTGCTCTCCCTTTCAAGTTAAGCAGTTGCACATCAAATGCCCTCAGACCTCATTTATTTGTTTACAAATTATGTACTGAATGTTCAAAATCAAGACAGACAAATACATGTGACAATCAATGCTTTTGGTGCTGCTGCACTAAAAATAAAGCGATCTCTTCAATCAACAATCTGTACAGAGCTGATCACTGGGAGCATTATCTTTAACAATATAGATATAGCTGAGATTTCCTTCATTTGAAAACGTTTTATTTCCATTTATCTTGCACCCACCCCTTTCCCCACACACTTTGCTTTAACCTTTCAAAGATAAGTGTTACAAATTGAAACTGCAGACCAATGTCTAAAGCCCATCCATATAAAAGTGAGTTCTTATTCCCTGAAGCTGATTTAACTTTTACAAATTGACCAATCTAATAATGTATCGATCTTATGACTACTGTAACTTTAAGTGACAAATTACAAAATTATAATTACCCTCTGTAATTGCTTATAGTTTTACAGCATTGCAATTTTAATTAAAGGAACTCCACTGAGGTCCAAAAACCTAAAAACATCAAAATGAATTTCTTACATAGATCAGTCTGGACATTTTAAAACAGTTAAATATGCAAAAGATAATTTAGAAATATACTCAGAAATAAATTGAAAATCGTTTCTCTTGGAAAATTATTTCAGTCCCGTCATGTAAAAAACCCTCAGTGGAGTCCCTTTAAAGATATGTCTCAATATTAGATTCATGAATATTCTTTAATTTAAAGAAACTTTAATGTAATATTTTAAATATCATTCATTTAAGGCTGACTGCTTAAAAAGCTTGTAGGTTATTAAAATGACTCTCAGCCTGCTTCTAGGAACTTTTCAGTACTGGTGTTCTAGTATTGGTCTCATATGAGAAAATGTAACAATCACTCGAACTGTAATCCCCTCAATGGTTGAGAGGCCGACACCTTAATTACTAAGCCATTAATTGGAAATTATGACAAATTAACCCTTACATCAAATTTTATAATGGATTTGCCCTGCTTTGAATATGGATCAGTCCATTAGAATTTTAAGGGATTATAAAAATTAGGCTACCAACAGTATAGAGGTTGGTCAGATTACACAGATATGCAGGCTGGCCTGGCTCTATACTGGTGGCAAAGGCTTGGCACCTTCATTTGTTTCCAACAGGTTAAAGGCTTTCTATAACTTAAATAAATTATGCTTTGACATTTATCAAAATCACAAAACACAAACAGTTAAGGTACATGTATAGTCTTACTGCAATGCTTTCCCGCCCAACAATGGCTAAGATTGGCCAATATCGTAATAAATCGGTCATTTCTGGAATGTTATTTTTTACACTCTTCGGTATTCAATAGCTTTTAACCGTTTATAACTGTAAGTAAGTATATAGCGATAAAGGATGAGTATTTGTAAATAGATCTAGTCTGATGCCCAAGATTTAAAAAAAATCATATTCTGGAAATAACCAATTAGCTTCTTTTTTTGACTGGAAAGCAATACAGTAACACTGCTTAAGAACTTGCCGGTAATACATAAGTTAAAATTTCCAAGGTTACTCTCTGATTCAATCTGTAATTATTTTTCATTATTTACAATAAACCTAATAACACACTGTTTCATTGACTTTTCCCAAAAGGTAATATTTATCAAGTGACAACAAAATAAGTACTGTTTATTATATAAGAACAAATAAAATTCCTTTCTCTTTCCCCATAACCAACTATCTATTAATAGAATTATATAGAAGATATGATGTTATTGCACTGAGAACAATATAAAAGAAATACAAAAAATATCATAGCATTATCGTATTTCTCCTATTAAGTATACCAAGGTAATCAACAATTCTTAAGGTATCAAAATTATTCTAAAAATATCATTTATAAATACATTTTCAACAAAGTAAAATATTAATGATCTCAAATTTCTAACTGCCGATCCCTTTTTTATATCTGAGGGAGTATTTATTAAAACAGGTGCCCTTATTAGGAGAACTACGGTAGGTGTTAACAATAGTTATATAGAATACTCTTTCATGCCTGGTTGTTTAATTTTTTATACAAGGTGTTATTACGAAGCTAACACCAGCGTCATACACTACCTCGTTACTTGTTTTTCTTCCTTCTCCTTCGATACATATTCAGCGATCCTTTATTTCATGGAAAAATGATGAGAAAAATGATAATGATGTATAAATAATAGAAAAGTAGCGACACTTACGTGTTATGAAATATAGTAGCAAAAAAATGACAATAAAGCAAATGAAAAAAAAAAAACATCATGTGAAAAAAGAGAACTTTCTATAAATGGAAATGATTAAAATCTATGAGTACAAATGTATTCACAACTGATCTTTATTCAATTTTCAAGCCCTACCTTTCTTCTCACATGTTCAAGATATACATGAGCCTAGTCAATCGGCATGTTTAGGTAGACCTTGATAATAATCTAAAATGTTTTCAGCTTCAGGAAACAAAATGCAGATTTTATGTTTTTATACTTTTTGTTCTCTTTTTCTGCTTTGCTTCATACAAAATCATAAAAGACTTAAAATTAATGAGACTGTTGGATATGATAGATATAGTATCAGAAAGTACTAGGGATGGCAAGGCATCACCGAAAAATTGAGAACTTGACCAAACGTCCAAGTATCAGTTAACAAAATTGGTACTCTAGTTCTCGGCAAAAGAAATGTATCTCTAATTTTTCCATTATAAATAATAATTATACGGAAATAAAATAATAAGAATTTTTGAGATATATACATCCTATGTAGAATGTGTTAAATGTAATAAAAATATTCGTGCAGGTGTAAATGTTTTATTGCTAACTACGTCATGCAATCACCAGTATGTGTAGGTGGCATGGCCGATTGGTCCACACATCATTCTAGTAATCTAAGGATTGCTGGCTGCGTGGGTTCAAACCCTGTTGGGGGCAAGGCATTTCCTGGAGCAAAAACTTTACACTTATTGCTATAAATACTGGTTGATTCCAAAAATGGATTCAAGAGTGTTTCAATAAGCTTATGACTTGGAACACTTTATTTCCAGTATGACAAGTGTGTACATTTAACAACTCTGTCAATGTATCAATTTTGCCTGCTTATTAAATGTTATTATCAAGCAGTGAGTTGCTGATTTCCATAATCGATAAAAAACGGATTGAGACCAAATTTAATTTTTAAGTCTCAGATTTATGTAATAAATGTAATTAGACCTATATCAACCTTGTTTACTTTTTTCATTTTTTTTTCAAGATATATTTCCGGCATTTACAGTATTAATTAAATCTGCACATCAAAATAGAAAACCTAGGTGGATGGAATAGGTTGTCATTTGTAAAACTAACTGCTCTTGTTTTCTTGAGACAGGTTTTGACAAAAATTACAGATATATAGAAAATGAAGTCCTAACAAATCTTCCGAGGAACCAGTCACATGATCGGAAAAATGACGGAGTACTCGAGTACTAAAATTGAAGTTTGTTGCCATCCCTAGAAAGAATGAGTTGATATTCTATAAATCAAACAAGACTGTTTGAAAGAGATATATGCACATATATATAGCAGCATTTAATGAATTTGTTTTAGTTTTTTTTTTATTAATAAAGAATAAAAGATCGAGATTTTAAAGTTTTCTCAGAAAATTAGTTCAAGTTTTCAGACTTTTGAAATACTTACTGGGAATGTCTTAAAAAATGAAAATAAAATTGGAAAAAAATAAACATTCTCTTCAAATAGCTATAAAATCAAGTATGGTTGACCTAAAAAGGAAATATATACCAAATAACATAGTGCAAAAAGCGATCTTAATAAATTCTAGGTTAAAAATAGAAATTACTGCTGTTTAACGTTGTTTTATGTTTGATCTACAAAATTAACAATTTATCACAGGGTTTTCAATACATGATAATAATGGTTAATGACCCCCTTCATCTTTCTCCAATTGAAAAACAAACAAACATATTTTTCCTGAATTTGGAAAAGAATCAAATATTTTTTCCCCTTTAGATCAGAATTTTTTTTTTACACAAAATTTCTTTCCCAGATATATCATGAAAATGTTCAAATGTTTATAGGAAATTTCTTTCCCAGGTAATCAAATAAAATGTTCAGAAAATGTGAAGAAATTTCTTCCGCAGATAATTATATTATTAAATGCCCTGAAAATATGAAGAAATTTCTTCCCCAGATATATCATTCAAATGCCCTGAAAATGTGAAGAAATTTCTTCCCCAGATATATCATGAAAATGCCCTGAAAATGTGAAGAAATTTCTTCCCCAGATATATCATGAAAATGCCCTGAAAATGTGAAGAAATTTCTTCCCCGGATACATCATAAAAATGCCCTGAAAATGTGGACTTATAAGGAAAAAACTTCAAGGAGATGATATAAAGAATAACTTCTAAATGTGCCACTCTTGTGCTGAATAAGAAATTCATATATAAGTTTCTAATGTGATCAATTATTCTAGTATTGAAAATGTGAAAAGTTGATTTAAAACTTAAACCTTGCATTCTGACTGCTACATAGTAACAAATGAGAAAAGAAAATTTTCAGTTAAAGACATGTGATTCAGAAGAAATCTATTTCAAAATCAAATGAAACAAAATGGGATAGGATCTGAATGATACCTGAAAACTAATCTTTTATTAAAGGGGCATAACTCTTGTAAATACTGAAATTGTCGGGCTGTAACTCTTGTAAATACTGAAATTGTAGGCCTATAACTCTTGTAAATACTGAAAAGGTCAAGCTATAACTCTTGTAAATACAGAAAAAGTATGGCTATAACTCTTGTAAATACTGAAAAAGTCGGGCTATAACTCTTGTAAATACTGAAAAAGTTGAGCTATAACTCTTGTAAATACTGAAAAAGTAAAAACATTCAATCAGAAATAATAAGCACTGTCATCAATCAGAAAACTTTGTTGAATTTGTCACATTGTTTCTTAGAAGGGCAATAACTCTGTTAAAATCTTACTTTTTCTCAGCCTCCTCCAACTGTTGTCTAAGGGAGACAATTTCAGTCTGAAGATCATCTACTACATCATCCAGACGTTTTTTACCTCCCTCTACTAACAACATCTGACCATTGATAAGAGCAACTGTCTTCTCTAATGCTTCTTTCTCTGTATTCAATCTATTTATCTCTTCTTTGTCTAAAAATAGAAACATTTCAATTTAAAGTGACATAAAACACTATATGTTTTAGAATATATTCTCCAATTTGAATTGTTTAAAGTATTCCAATATCATAATATCATAAAAAGAGCTGTCAGAAAATCAGATCACTTCACTTTTCTCAGTCCTTGAAAGTTAAACAGGAATCACAAATATAAGGAATTTAAAATATGACATGTTTGTAAATCTTGCATAGCTAGCTTTTGACCTGGGAATTTTCTAAGTTCATAAAGGGCCAAAAATCAGTTTAAATCTATATCCGAGTTACGTATCTATAATTATTATCAAATTTAAAGTGAGAACCTTCTGCAGTTTTGAAGATTGATGCTGCATGCAAAAACTTTAACCTATAATTTTTTAAGTTCACAAAAGACCACAATCCTCTGGAAACACATGTCAGAAATATAGACCTTAGAAGAAAGTGACACAGAAGATATGTGCAAGGTTTCAATAAAGTGAATACTTTTACATCTTTTAATGATTGAAGTAGCCGTCAAAAAGTTTAACAAGCAATGTTCTAATTTCACAAAAAAACATTTTTCCATGACAATCCATGTTAGAGTTATGATCCTTGAATGGTGATACATCCTTTTATGACCTCAAAGACACGTGAAATTACAGGTGAATATCATCAAGTGCTTGATGAGCTATTAAGTTGTACAAGAAGGTGCACTTAAAACTTTGATGAAAGTGTTATGCAGCCACTAAAGCGAGTAGAATAGCAGTATTATCAGTTGACCTAAACACCTTTTGCTACCAACAATTTAAAGCATGGTCAGATTTTTTCTTATTTCTCCTGGCTGGAATTTTTTCTGTCACACTAACTTTGTTTTAATTATTTTGGTGACTTTTCATAAAGTTTAACAAGGTTCTATACAGATGGCATACCAACTTCAAATTTTTGTCCTGATTTACCCAAACTTTACAATGGACAGTTCCAAAAATAGAAGCTGGACAAGTCCATTAAATAAATTTGGCAGGTTTAATGTCTAGACATTCTTATCTTTAGGTTCATTCAATATTATTTGTCATTTCCACTTTTCAAAATATGGGAAACATGACTGGTTCCCAATGTAAATATTATTTGCAGACTGGTTTTCAAATATCTAATGATTTTCACCTTGGCTCAAGGAGAAAGAAAAAATTCTGAAAAGGGAAGATTGCTGCTTTTGAGTAGGCACAATTAAGATTAATATTAAAGTGACCATATTCGAAAATTGTTTTCTCCTTTTCTTCTTACATTTAAAAGCCAGCTGAGGTTTGAAAATGAGAAATTGTGTTACACCTCATTCTCTATAATGACAGGGGTTTCTATAAACAAAACTAATAAAGCAAACATAAACAGAAGATACTGTTTTATTTTATTGTCTTGAAATGTTTTATAAACTCTTTGTCTCTCTAATCAGTTTATAATAATTTCAGGATCATTTACCTTTCTTAGCCTCGGAACCTTCGTGACCGTACTGAATTATAAACCGCTGATGTCGCTCTTCAAGGTTTTCGTGCTCCTGTTTCAAATGATCATAATCACTTTGCATCCGTTCCTTCTCTCTTGTAAGTCTGAAATTTAAATTAAGATGGGAATATGATATTTACACTTTTTTCTTTCTAAATAAACTTGGTACTAGAGGAGGATGTTGACATTCTATGACTATACTGATTATAAACAACCTTGTGCTTCCAGTATAAAGTGTGTACTTCCTATTTAAAAACAGGAAAACTGGGTCTATGCCTTGAAAAAAGAACAACAAAAAACCTTGCCCTATGTTTTGAATAAACACAGGAAAACTGGCCTTATGCCTTGAAAAAACAAAGGGAAACTGGTCCTATGCCTTGAAAAAACAAAGCAAAATAGGCCCAATGCCTTGAATAAATACAGAAAAACTGGCCCTATGTCTTAAATAAACTCAGGAAAACTGACCCTATGTCTTGAGTAATATAGGTAACTGGCTCTATGCCTCAAGTAAAAACACATGACAGCTGACCCTATGCCTCCAAAATTAGGAAAACTGACACTCTGCCTCCAGTAGAAAGCCACGACAGCTGGCCAAATGCCTCCCATGTAAACAAAGGAAAAGTGGCCTTATGCCTCTTGTATTTTGAAACACAGGAAAACTTGCTCTATACCTCCAATACAAACAAAGAAAAGCTGGTCCAATGCCTCCAGTATAATCACAGGACAGTTTCCCTATACCTTCAGTATAAACACAGGACAGCTGCCCCTATACCTTCAGTATAAACACAAGACAGCTGTCCCTATATCTTCAGTATAAACACAGGACAGTTGGCCCTTTACCTTCTGTATAAACACAGGACAGTTGACCCTATACCTTCATTATAAACACCGGACAGCTGTCCTTATAACTTCAGTATAAACACAGGACAGCTGTCCCTATACCTTAAGTATAAACACAGGACAGCTGCCCCTATACCTCCAGTATAAACACAGGACAGTTGGCCCTTTACCTTCAGTATAAACTCAAGACAACTGTCCCTTTATCTTCAATATAAACACAGGACAGTTGGCTCCTTCAGTATAAACACAAGACAGCTGTCCCTATATCTTCAGTATAAACACAGGACAGCTGTCCCTATACCTTCAGTTTAAACACAGGACGGCTGTCTCTATACCTTCAGTATAAACACAGGACAGCTGTCCCTATGCTTCCAGTAAAAACACATGAAAACTGGTCATATTCCTGTATTATTAAAACAGGAAAAACATTGTTTGCAGTATGATTAAATATTGTTTGCTCTATTGGGATCTTGATGTTCTAATTTGTATATTCAACTCTGGCCAGCTCAAATATTCAAAGCAGGGCAAGACTGTAACACAATTCCCTTGAAGGAAAAGGTCACTGAGCAGTATTTCTAGTATACCCTATGCTGTTTTACAATTTTACATAACTGATCAAAGGTTGGGCGCAGTTCATTTTATAAACCAACAATGACGTCAATTTGAAATATTAGAAATCTATCAGATTATCTTGTTTCTAATGCCGTCAAAGGGTTCCGACTATTTACGTCTGCAAATATGTATTTATAAAAATCTTCATTATGAATAAAGCTGCATGGCGAGCAGCACATGTCTGGCAACGCTAGAGAAGGAGTTCCTTCTGACCACAGTCTGCAACATGTGGATAATAATAATAATTATATAATAAGTGAAATGCGTAAAATGTGTCTGACTTCAAAGAATGCAAGTTCTCTGCAATAAACATAACTGCAATCCTGCAAGTGTCATTTCTTATCATATTTAAATATGTGAAGTGGTTTGTAAAGTGCATGTGACATACAAAAAGCATTATATAGGTTGGGACCTGTAGTGACAGTCTAGATAATTATTAATATATTGTTGATATGCTTTGCACTGAATCAATGTCAGCTCACTAATTATTGGTATACAATCTACAAACAGTATTCATATCACAGTTTTCAAGTTAACAACTTAAATAGAAGTATGTAATTTGCAATATACCATGTTATAGAACAAACAAAATCATTTTAACGCACCTTTCAAGCTCTACCCTAGGCACCACTGAACCGTCCCCACCAACTGCATCTTTCAAGGTTGCATTCTCCTGTGAAGGAAACAATATATTTGGTGGTAAGAAAATAACTAATTTTTTGAGTCAGTATTGTTCACTGAAGTTGAAGATACTTAGGTTTCATATCAAGTGAAATCTGAAAGTCAAACTTTAATGCAGCATGCCTCCAGAATTATGCTAATTTTCATGAAATTTTGAAAATGTATTTAAAAGTAAAATATTGTGATATGATGAAAGTAAAACAGCACTAACAATCCCATCCTCAGTAACCCAGGCTATTTACTGTATACATGTATATATATGGAATGTGTACTGTGGGTTCCGAAGATGTTACAATCCATGTAAATTACCAAAAACAAGTCAAAATATGCAAAAATGCCCCTTACTAAATTAGTAACACAGACAAAATATGGTGATTTATTCTTTAAAATCAGTCATTACTCACATTAAAACATGTAAATTATTGATTGAATCTTTTTACTTTTCTTAAAAATTTAAGTGTTTTTTTTTCTCAAATTTGATTTTCTTGAAATATTTATGCTCATCTGGAGGCATGCAGCTTTAAAAAGAACATAATTTACTGTCAAACATGTCTTTAAGTGGGCCACCCCATTCCACCACTGCTGCCTATCCCAAAGGTAAGACATTGCCAAATGATAATTTATATTCTTTCATTAAAACAATGCATACATGTATCTAGTTACATATAAAGATGGATCATTAAAGGGTCAAACACTGGATATTATAAAAAAGATTTTATTGTAGTCAGAAATGGTCATTTTAACCCCTTTAACCTGCTGAATTTCTTTAATGGACTTGTCTAGCTTTCACTTTTGGGACTGCCAATTATCAATTTTGGGGATATCAAAATAAAATGTTTAAGTTATTTAGCCCACAATATAGAGCTTGGTCAGACTGCATTGATGCTATACTGGTGATTAAGGCTAATTACTTTTGGTTCCAGAAGGTCAAAGGTTAAAACAAGCCTAATTACACAGTAAAATGAAAAAAATGTTTGAACTGTCAAATTCACTACCAATATCAGTAAAGGGGGAGTCATTCTTTTATTTTTTTTAAGAAAAGACATTTAATACATTTAGTCATACCAAAGACATAAAGGTGAAGTCATTCTTATAATTTTATAAGAAAGTACATTTTTACATTAGTCATACTAAAGACATAAAGACAATAAGACTATAATAAACATGGTAGTCACTTGCACCCCGTTATAATGGTCAATTTGGGGTCCAGGTCTCAAACCCTAATATAAACAGGGTTCTGATTTATAACATTTCCAGATTGGATTGTTGACAGATAAGATTTTTTTTTGTATTACCCAAACAACATACCTGTACATATCTATAGTGTTTTGTTATAGTTTTTTTTTCAATGAAAATTGCTTACAATAACATAATTTGTCTCTAAATTTGGTAAAAATAATGACTGATAATGTACATAAAAATTATATATGTAAAATCGTAAAAGAAAAATATTTTAAAGTGTTTCCATCTGTAGCATTTCTCCCACATTGTTTACTGTGAAAATCACTCAGGAGTCAACCCCTTTGAGTGTTATAATAAGGTAAAGTGTTATAACAGGGGTGCAGTATAACAGGATGGCAGCGTAGGTGTAGAGTCAAATGTCTAGATAACGTCTGAAAGGTTTGTTTACAAAAAATCAAATAGTTATCATGTTTTAATTTCTATTCTTTATTACTTACGTAAATGCAATAAAATGTATTTTGGTCAAAATAATTTAACACGTTCTTTGTGGTTTTCTCACAATTCAATAACATGGTTGAAATTATATATATTAAGAAATCAAAAACACATCCTTGTACGAAATTAATCTATACAACAAATTGGTTAAGACAAATTAAAATCACATCAAAGCAATAACAGGTTACTGAAATAGAAAACTTATTTCAGTGTCTGACAAATTGATTTCCCACATTGTAAAAATATTCATTTTTTTTTTTTTTATCAAAAACACTCACTGACTACCTAACATTCAATATTAATAACAAAAATCTCAAGCACAAAAAAAGTTAAAGATCACAAATTCTCCTTTGTTACTAAAGTATTTTGAATGCCAAACCCATTGAAAGTTATGTTAATCACTGTTTGATACAATTTAGTCTTTACTAACAGATTTATGATCCGTAGGGAGGTATGCTTGACTACTCACAGTGCTTGATAGTAAGACAATAGTCTGGATAATATAGAATTTTCTCAGTTCAAAAAGGGCCATAATTCTGTCAAAGTCAATGTTAGAGTTATGGGCCTTGGTCAATTACATCCTTTTATGCACTAAATAAAGTGTTTCAAAATTTTGAACCTACTCCCTTTACTAGTCTTGGAGATACCAACTTGCAAGCATAAACTTAACCAAAAAGTAATGCAGATGCCAGGGTAAGTACAGTAGCCCATCCTTAATCTTCCTAAAGTCGAGCTTAATACTACAACATAAAATCAGTCCAGTCCCAAATAGACATAAAATCCCCACATCTCATTACCACAACATTAACTTACAAAGTCAGCACTTAAATTTCTAGGCGGCAGCTTCTCAAATACATCTTGAAGAAACTTTAAGCCAGCCGCTCCATTCTTTTTCTGACATTCAAAATAATATTTCTTATATCTATTTTACATTATTTTGAACTTTTCAACATTATAAGGTAAATATTTTTAAGTTTGTTTGGTTTTGTTTTCTTTTACATTTTATTGTGTTTGTTTTTTTCTCGTCTTTTTATTTGTTTATTTATTTTATTTATTTTTTTTTTTTTTTTTTTAGGCGAATTTTAACACATTTTTGGTATTTTCAGGAATTACAATGTATCATCAGACAACCAGGGTACATAGTAAATATTGGCTTACTATTTGCTCAAAAAATTAACAACTAACAATCGATATGAGTAAAGCTTTTAAGCATGCATTATCAGCCATTTTATACTTTATATGTAACAATCCATCTCTGTAAAAAGGAGGCTATATTAATTCAACCAATCAAAACATTTTCAACTAATCAAAACAATCAATGATGTTTATTTTAACAAATCAGAACAACATATGAAGTTGAATACTAAATGAATGCATTAATATAGAAGTAATTAAATACCACTCATAACAATTTATGATAAAAAATAAGTATAATATGTAAATGATTATTTTAATATTATAAAAAGACCAAACACTTCAGATGTAATGCTGTGCTATAAATGCATGCAGACATACTCACTTCAAACAATTCAAAAATCAATGTTTTAACTTGTAATACACCTCAAATATTAATAGAGAAATAAATAGCGGTCAAACTGTAAAATAGAATATCAAAATATGAAATTAATATCTTCAAATCAACCAAAGCGTTTGATTAGATAAAGCATTTTCAAAAAGGACCAATCATAATTGTCCAAAATGATCACATGATGCTATGGCAGCCAATCAGATGTACTCACAGTCCTTCTAATGATAAAATGTTGTGGAACAAGAATGAATGAATCAGGAGAGGACAATGGAAGATATCTCGTAAATAAAAGTAACATGAGAAAAAGAACACGAGTAAGTACTCAGAATAGAACAAAGAAGTAGAGGTGAGAAAAGTTGTTTAGCAGATAATTTAGTGAGATTGATGAATAAGAGTTATTTGATTACTTCTATATTGGTCATTTTTACTTGTGCATAATGGTTAGTCCTATGAATTACATTAATAGTAATTGTACTGACAGGAACATTTGATGAACAGGCTGTGACAAATGGTAAAACTAAGACTCGGTGTGAGCAAAAGGACTTAAAACTGCTAATTCAAAATTAATCTATGGAAATATTTCTAAGTTTGATATTTTTATACAATATTTAGAGTCAGATTGATCTATGAAGAATTCAAATTTATGTTTAAAGGTTTCTGGATCTAAGTCGAATTTAGAATTTTAAATACAAGTTATCAAGTTTTACTAAATATTTCATTGGATGCCTTATTTGTTTCTTATACTTTAGCTGCCAGAAAGACAGTGTGCTCACCTGAATTTGCTGTTCTTGTTCAAGATTCTAAATATTAATTTAGGAACTGGCAAAGGAAAAGATTTTCAATCAAAATCTAAGACAAGAGTGAAGGTTTTTAAGTTAATAAAGGGCTATAATTCAGACAAATCCATTGCTAGAGTTATGAGCCTTGGGTAGTGACCTCCACTAATTACCTTTTAGACATTAGACATTAGAAATATTGCACAAGAGAAGAATCAGTGATAGCCTCACTGTTTTTTAATAGTAAAGCTAAAAACTTTAATTTGGATTACAAATTATTTCATATAATTGTGCACAATTCATGGTCTTATAATAGCACATAACTGAATATTAATTTATAAATGAACTTCACATGAAATGAATAAATGAATCCACAAGATATACATTGAATATAAAGGGAAGTAGAATGTTTAAGTGTTAAATACTGACATGCATTATTGAATAAACAAAATGAATATAGAATGCTGATTTTGAGGGATAAAAATAATCTATTGTTTGATTAGAATAAATGGCTAAATAAAAGGGTTACTGTTCATATAAAACAAGATGATACAATAAAATAAAAGATTGCTATTCATGAAAAAATGAAAGAATTTGCTTGTTATACCATATTCATGTAAAATGAAGTGTTATAATTATTATAGTAAAGGATTGCTATTCATGTAAATTTTTATAGTAAAGGATTGCTATTCATAACAATTTATGGTAAAATGAAGAATTGCTATTCATTTGAAATGAAGTGGTATATTAAAGGATTGCTATTTATGTAGAATGAAGTGGTATGATAAAGGTTTGTTATTCATGTAAATTGAAATGGTATAATAAAGGATTGCTATTCATGTAAAATAAAATGGTATAAAATAATGTACAAAGATGAATGTTATATTTTAACAACAAAAAATAAGTGTTGTTCAGGAAAGTGCAGAAAAAAGGGACATTTTAAAAATTCTATTTAATGCTATGTTGTTTTCTACACAGGAAACCTTTTGTACATTTTAAATCTTAGGAAAAAAATATCTGGATTATTTTGGGCCATAATGTAAAGTTTTTGATGAATAATTACTGTATAGCAGTCCTATTTTTATCATCAGGAAAAAAATATCTTCCCTTACTTGTCAAGTAAATGATAAATAAAATGATCAATTCATGTTCATAAAAAATAATGTAATAAAAGGTTAAACAAAGCATGCGATACGAAACCATCGATTTGTTTTTCTCCAAGATAATGGACAATGCAAATAAGGTTTTTCCAATTACCCATTTATTACCTCCCTTTTTTCCTGTGGTTACAATGGATAATGTATGTAAGTACAGTAAATCAACTCAAATTACCTTGTTTTTAACCAAATTAAGAAAATAATGAGAATAATGAAATATAAAAGGCATGCTAATTAATGGTCAAACAAAAAAAACATTCTTCCCATGCAGAAGGTTTTACTACAAGACCACATACAATTACGTTCTCTGCCAGAGAAGTGTCTCCGAGCACAACAACATTCTCCTGCTCTTCAACAGAGGATTCATGCTCAAGAGCAGAAAGCGTTAGCTCTTGACCAGAGCAGATTTCCTGCTCTGGTGGTTTACATTGAGCCACCAATTCCACCATTTCTGGCTGTAGAGAGAAATTTTTAACATGTTTCTACAACTCCCAACATATTATTAGATTGAACAACCATGATAAATTGCTGAATTCAATCATTTATTTTATTTTAATCAATATGATTTTCTTAACCAGTGTATTAGACTTAACCTAGAGATATCACACGTTTTCCTAAATATAAGTGACGTTTTTTAACCTAATGTGGCTTAAAACATAACAAACGCTCAGTACTTAATTACATGATGTTATTTGTCAGAGCTGTTGAAAATTTTGTTCTAAAATTTGTGAAATAAAACTTGGAGAAAGAAAAATAAGATTCAAATGTTATGAATAGAACTATGAAAGGGAGCAGAATGGCTTTCAAGGTTACTAGATATTCAAATTTTCCTGAAAAATTTACTAAGTGTTTGAAATACCTATAGTAGAACGTCATGGAAAAATTACACCTTGCCAAGAGATCAAACCAGCAAATCCCATTTGATCCATATTGAACTTAGCAGGCGCATGAAAATTCTTTTCCTACAATTCAAAATTGCTTGAAAGCTGCCACTTGTCTGACCAACAGAAGATAAATTTGATACGTCATAATCAAAGATAGTGAAGAATTAACAAAGTTGACCCACCTGTTGTAAGATCTCAGCTTTCTCATTGACTTGTTCATTAATCTCCCTTAGCTGCTTATTTGCATCTCTTAACTCGTCAATCTTTGCTTCAAGTTCTTCTAACTGTGGCTTCTTGTAGATTAGCTCACTATTAGCCTATTTGACAGAAATCATCAAATATAATTATCTAAATTGTGCAACAAATTTTGTTTAAAAAAATCAAAAGTATTCAATCCTCAACAATGAGAGAGTGTTAAATAAAATTATCAACTGGTAGAGCAAGACCTCAGAGGCTCCTCAGTTCATTATTTAAGGCACAAATTGGCACCTGAGTAAAACAAAATACATTCTGTAAATTAGCTTTACAGCTTCCTTACTTTTTTAATTTCGGATTTTAAGTTGCTTTTACACTATTATGGTCATATATAGCAACTTGCCACCTTTACTGCATGAGGATAACCTAAGGGGCGGCCCTCCATGCATTATATAAGAAACATTAGTGGGATCCTTTGTAGAACCACCAATGCTCTGTTAGCTAGCTTGATAGCTTCCTCACATGAAAGACCCTGGCAGGCTTCAAACCCACAGTGGTTAGGGAGAGAATTGATATGAAGTCAACCACCTTAACCACTCATTAGAATTATAAATCCTTGCCTGGATTGAAAACCTAGGCAGACATGGGCAAGTGACTATCAGTTAACAACCTTGACCATTTAGGAACCAAGGTTAAAATGCTCCGCGAGTGATAAAAATACTGACCAGAAGTTCTTCCTTTTGAGCTATTAGATTGTCCCGCACCTTTTCAAGTTCCATGATCCTACTCCTGAAGTATATATAAAAAGAATTTATGAATATTTTCATTCATGTAATAGCGCCTACGATAAAATTTATTCCTAGACATGATGGCAATTGATTTATATAAAAAAAATCAAATTATCTAATATGTATATATATAAATATATATTGTTTGATTTCAGATATTTATTTTTCAATCAATCTAATCTAGGTAATTTCAAATAATCTAATCATGTAGTAACTTCCCACATCTTGTGTTGCAATGCCGACTAAGGTAACAGCTGTTTTCTGTCTAAACCATAATAATGTGGGCAACTGTATAGATCTGTATGTAGAAATCTTCCGAGGCCACAATATGCACTTAGCCAACAGATACATCAAGGGTCAGACATTCTTTTTCTAGTAATGTATTAAGTTAACTTTGCTACGCCGCAACAATTAATCCTTTAGAAAATGGCTTTATCTTGAAAGAACAGCAGAGCCATCCATGTTTTATACAGATGACCTAATTGATTACTTACGAGAACCTGTGTTCTAAATTTAGTGGTCTTAACAAGAAGTTTTTCTAATTTTAGTGGTATTATCAAGATGTTCTAAATTTAGTCGTCTTAACAAGATGTTCTAAATTTAGTGGTTTTAACAAGATGTTCTAAATTTAGTGGTCTTAACAAGTTCTTCTAAATTGAATGGTCTAAACAAGATGTTCTAAATTTGGTGGTCTTAACAAGTTCTTCTAAATTGAATGGTCTAAACAAGATGTTCTAAATTTGGTGGTCTTTACAAGAAGTTTTTCTAAATTAAGTGGTCTAAACAAGATGTTCTAAATTAAGTGGTCTTTACAAGAAGTTTTTCTAAATTAAGTGGTCTAAACAAGATGTTCTAAATTTAGTCGTCTTAACAAGATGTTCTAAATTTAGTGGTTTTAACAAGATGTTCTAAATTTAGTGGTCTTAACAAGTTCTTCTAAATTGAATGGTCTAAACAAGATGTTCTAAATTTGGTGGTCTTAACAAGAAGTTCTAAATTTAGTGGTCTTAACAAGATGTTCTAAATTATGTGCTCTTAACAAGAAGTTCTTCTAAATTGAGTGGTCTAAACAAGGAGTTGCTTCGATAATGCCTTTGTGTCCTAGTTTTAGACACCACATGACCAATGTTCCAATTTAAGCAAGATTTTAGTACAAAAATATTTACAAAGTTTGATGAAGATCCTACATACAAACAAGCAATTATCATAGTATTGCAAGCAATCCATAAGTCCCCTACCGGTAAGAGCCCAAGCAACATTCTGAAGGGCCATTGGCAATTCACTTATGTTCCTATTTAAATAAATTTGTTGAAAAAGTTCTCTAAAAGTGATCACAGGAAACAGTTTATATGTACAGACAGACAGACGGACTGAAGGACACTCTAAAGTTTTTTTTAAACATCCCTGTTATCAAAATATAACATTTTTAAAATCCTATCATGATTAAAGAAGTTGGAGTAAAAATTCCCAATACTCAAAAAAAAGTTCAAAAGGGGCATTATTCTGGATATAATCTTGCTAGAGTATTGAATATTCACAAATGTTGAGTGATAAATAAGAAACATTTATATGAAGTTTGAAGTAGATACATTCAGAAAAAGAAGTTATTAAAAAAAAACAATGTTTTTTTCATGAAAATTTTGTGTTCAAGGGAGGTTATTCTGATAAATTTTGTGCTAGAGTTGTAAACTTTGTCACATATGATGTGGTTGATGACAAGCAACTTATATTTAAATAAAGTACTTATAGTGAAAAAACTTAAAAACTAGAATCAGAAATCTTGAAATTCAGTGTATTTGTTGCCATAGCAACCAGAATTTTCAACATAGGAAGATAAGAAAAGGATGTGCATAATTTCCATACTGCCATCTACCCATATGTCAAGTTTCATAAAAATATTTTCAGTACTTTTTGCGTTATCACTGGATCCAGGTTATGTGTAAATTTGCCATATTTTCAGTCTATTTGTTGCCATAGCAACCAGAATTTTCAACATAGGAAAAAAAGAAAAAGACGTGCATAATCTCCATACTGCCATCTATCCATATATTAAGCTTCATAAAATTTTTTTCAGTACTTTTTGCATTATCGCGGGATCCAGGTTATGTGTAAAATGTGCCATATTTTCAGTCTTTTTGTTGCCATAGCAACCAGAATTTTCAACATAGGAAGAAAAGAAAAAGACGTGCATAATCTCCATACTGCCATCTATCCATATATCAAGTTTCATTAAAATATTTTCAGTACTTTTTGCGTTATCGTGGGATCCAGTTTTGTGGACGACCGGACTGATGGACGGACAGACGGACGGACGGACAGACAGACGGACGGAGGGTAAACCTAAAGTCCCTTCCGGTAAACCGGTAGGGGACTAATAAATGAAAGTTAACCTCAATTTAATTGAACCAATAACCTTGTAAAAATAGACGTGCCAAGCTTTGAATTTGGAACAGTCCATTCTAAAATTTAGGGACTTCAATATCAAAACACAAAAATCGAGTTACTAACAGTACAGAGCCTGGTCAGACTGCATGGATATGCGATCAGCATGCCAGCTTTATGCTGGCAACGACGGTTCATCTTTTTCGGTTCAAGCAGGTTAAAGGACAAACTGTTTTACGTTGGCAAGCAGCATATTGATTACAACATTTCAACTTACCTCAGATGTTCATTATCACTTCTGTACTGCTCTATCTTATCTGTCAACTTGTCAATATCTTTCAGTTTTTCCATACTGGAATCAGCCTGAAGGTTACACACAAGAAAAAAAAATTAAAATCAGTAATAATAGATTTTTTAATTGTCTCAAAAAAATACTAAAACACTGCTTGAGTGTTCTTTACATAAATATGATACTACATAGTAAGAATAAAGAATATCAGTAACATTGATGATGAAGGCGACCCTATCACTCCTCCCCACCTTAAAAACAGCCATTTTTGATTAAGATTAGAAAGGTCACAGTCCATATGACACGGATGCCCCCCACATCCCATTGTCTTCCAGACTTGGCGTTGGACTTGAGGATAGACAAGGGCAATTAAAGTAGGCGAGACATAAAAAAAAACCCCGAACTTGACCCTTATCAATTTCAAAAATCTAAAACATTAAGAGAAACAGCAATTAAGTGTCAGAAACTTAAGGACAACCCTGCAATTCTATACTCAACCTCCTTTTTTTTCAATGGGGGCATAAACCTTATCTTTATTCTTGCAGCTATGAAAAGCTTAATATCTATGTTATGTCAACAATAACAATTGGGGGAGCGGAGGGGGAGAAGGTCTCTTAGATGGTCTTCTAAACAGGTTTGACTGTAATCATACTATAAAACAATTTCAAAAGGCATGTAATGAATAAGGAAATTGTAACAATTACAGATAGAAAAATAATTACATTATTCAAGAAGATTGAGAACAAAAAAAATATCTGTATCCCTTTCACAATAATTAAGTCTTTCCCTTTTGATAGGATCCATTTTACAATAAGATTTAGAATACCACTAATACAATAATTATAACTGGCAAAATGTCTTTGAACATTTAATTTTCTATTTCCATCAACCTTGTCATCTTTCAAAAAAGAATTTAATTAAAAAAATATTTTGAGATTTTACATGCATTAAGATTATTTTTTGTAACAAAGATTATTAATTTTGATTCTTGGAATTATGAAAGAAAAAAAAATATTTTGTAACATTTCCTTGTTCAAGGTGAGTTACAAACATGAACCAATAAAATGTCATTTCTCAAACCACAAAGGACATAATGCCTATATTTCTTAAGGACACTTTTTATAAAGATAGCATTTGAAGGTTACAATCAATAAAATTAAATTGACACTAAATTTGACAGGCATAATTTGCTGTGGTGATACCTATTTGATTTGTATTAGGGAAGAGTGTAACTTAATTATTTAGGCCATACTAAACTTAAAAATTGTTATTCTGTATATACTAGATGATTAAAATAATTTCAAAAACAGAGAAAAAAAACTGATGGAATACTTTTCCCCCCAAAAGGGGCAAGTTGAATAATAGAATTTTCCCTTAAAAGGGGGCAAATTGAATGAAAGATTACTTTCCCTAAAAAGGGGGCTTAGCTAAATGAAAGACTTTTCCCCATTGAATGAAAGCATTTTCCCTAAGAATGGGGTAAGTTCTAGTTTATTGGTTTTGATCATCTTCTTTTCTGGAAATTGACCTGTACATGCTGAAAAAATAATGTAATTAATTACTACTGAAGAACATTACAGTTTATACAAAATTTCACAAATCCTATATCAGGTTTGCAAATGTTATTTTAACAATTCATTAGATTTTAAAAAACATATAAAAAATTAAATTCTTTTTCATGCAAGGTTCTAAAAAATAATCACCCTGAAAAAAATTATAATAAAATGGTATCAATAATAAAAATGAAATGAGTGACTCCTTGTTCAAATCTATAATATAAATAAAAGTACAGATGATATAGATGAATGCATGGATTAAACTTATTTGAACAACATTTTATACTGCCATAATATAAAATTTAATTTGATACATATTAACATTAAACAAACACTGAATTATTTGATTTTGGCCTTAAGATTCAATTTTAAAATGACCATTGATTTACAGCCTTTGACACTACTATGTACATAAATTGAAGAGGGTCCTTAATCTGAAATTTATTAATATATATTCAAATTGCAATGAAAAATATCAAATTTTGATACATACTGTAAAATCATGAACATAATACACAACCAAATTTCACAATTTTATCTCGCATTGTTTTAAAACATATTCAAACATTTTTTTTCAATCTCACAAACTAACTATAACATATCAAAAACAATGAGCAAAAACTGAACAACAATATTTTAAAAATAAAAAATAAAATGGAGAAAAATCAAAAGGAACTCAAACTGTTAACATTTTACAACATTTAAAAATGGAATGAACATTGAGAATTTACCTGTAGAGGTTCCAAATGGGGTCAAACTGAGGCCCTGGAAGTGGTCTTTTAAAGAATTGGGATTAACTAATTAGGGGTTTGAAAAAAAAAATTTAACACAACTTTTTTACATGGGGACAATTTTTATTGTAGAGGGGACTTGAGTACTCTATCATTGAAAAAGCTCTTCAATAGCTTGGAATCCTAAAAAGGATCATTCTTCAATTTTGGAGGACAATTAACTGAGGCATTGGAGTTCTCGGACCTTTTATTTTTTTTATAAATTTCTTTTCATCTTAGACTCTCGGAGAATAAAATAAAATTCTTAATAGAAATAATAGACTTAAATAAAGCCCTCAAAAAATTCTAAAGGAAATTGTCTAATTTAAAAAGGGTTTGAATGAGGCCCTTACAAAGGTCAATGTGAATTAACATAAAGAAAAAGTTTATAATTTTAGTTTTTTGTTTGTTTGGTTTTTGTTGTTGTTGTTTTTTTTTTTTAATTCTTAATAAAAAAGTTCAAGTATTGGCAACAGCATAATGTTCTCAACAAATGAAACTAATTTCCAAAATAAGAAATATTAAAAACAATTATCAACTTGCTTTTTATATGAAAGAGGCTTTGAACTTTTTTTCTCAATAATTTGCGTTCCATTTGATAAGCTAAACCAAAATGCTCATTTTACAAATTATTCATTTTTTATAAACATTCAGAAAATGCTCAGTTTTATTATGCCACTTAAGTTATTAAAACTGGGCCTTGATTATCGGGCATTTATGAAATTGAAATATTTAATAATCGATACAAAAATTAAGTGTTATCTTGTTGTCGAACATTTTTATCAGATAAATCACTCAAAACTCTTACTATCAATCTATCGGAGGTCATCGAGATTAAAATTTCTACAGTTATGTTCATAATGTGCAGTCTACCAAAGAAAGGTGCAAAATGAAAATTATACGAAATCTCAAAGTTTAAAACATTTTTATTCCAGTTTATTTCTTATACATTAGTAACAATAATTATAAGCTCTAAAACAATATAATGTGTATATATATTTTTTGAATATATAATACTTCTACAACACGTTACCGTATATCCCATTAATAACGCCCCACCATATTTCTTTCAAGCAACATAACATCAGATCAGTTAAATAAAGTTTAAAGTTGAAAGAAAATGTATCAACAGCCAAAAAAGAGAAAAATAATATATAGAAATTCAATATATCGTCAATGTGATTAAATAAATAACTTTTATTGCCATATATATCTAGAACCTGTTTCATTCAAAGTTAGGACTAGTTTTGCACTTCGGTAAAAATAAAATAAAATGTCTGACAATCATTTTAAGTTTTGCCAGGAAGTGTTAAAATCATTATGTTGTTTATGTACACTCCACAATGTGTCAACTTTAATAAGTGCAGTAACAGGTAAACTCTCATTAAATTAAATAAGGAGTTAACTTCTTACTGCACTAAGGGTGACAAACTTTATTTATTTGCTATTGAATTTTTTTATTTATGAACAAATTTTTTCATTTAATTTTGGTAAAAAAAACCAACACTGTCACCAATCTGGAGGTATGTTGCTTTAATGGCAAACTTCAGAAAAAGAAACCCTCAGATCAAAATTTGCTTCATACTGATAAAACCGATTGAATAAAGTTTTAACAGGAACATGTTTAAACATATGATATTAAAGTGATAAAGATATGTAATCATGATAGATAAAATATATTATAATAAATATTATAGAAACTTTAATCATTTGTTCACTTTCTTCCTCAAATGGAGGAATTCAAAGTCCCTTTGCAGGATTCAAACCCACAACCGGGACAGGCATAATTTTGATTGGATAATGATCATACCCATTCAATCTCTGCCTGACTTTAATGCTTTATTTCCTCACCTTAGTGCAGTAACGGGTTAACTCCAATTGAAGATTTAATAGGACTTAACCCATTACTGCACTAAGGTGACGATATTACCTTATCTAATTGATCAAAATTTAAACAGTAAAATTTTTTTTACCCTACTCATGCACAAATTCAGTTTTCACAAAAATCTATGGAATCTGAATTGGCAAGTAGTTTCTTAAATAATTCTTTTATGAGTCTATAACTACAAATGAATCTATTTGAAACTATAAATGTATACATTTAAACTAATACTTGTAACATTTAAAATATATACTTTAATATTGAAATGATAAGCGGTGATTGAAAAACAAAAATTATACTTTTTCCCAACAGCATCTGATCTAGAACTCTTACTATAGTATGCTATGAAAAAATTAATCATAATGTCAAACGACCTCAAAATCGCCACAGTGATTTTTCAAACACGTTTGGCTTTTCTATTTAATCAACACACCAAAATATTAATGCCCTTGTTTTGCAATATTATGTCAGAGCACATAGCTCATTTTAAAAGTTGGAACACTGGATTTATAAATCTGAATTTTTGCTTAATCAAGGGGCATTACTCTGAGGATCTTAAATAAATTTGCCTCAAAATACCCAGGTAAGTTTATATGCTGACAACTATTCTTAACGAATTTCATGCCTCGATAAATCATACATACGTTTTGCGTTACATTGGACATAAACCAATTCATATTCCCGCAGTATGATGGCAAAACAGTTGAACAAAGGCAAATCTTCATGCCCTCGCCCCTCTCTAAAAGTGGTCCAGACTTGTTAAATTTTCTTTCCTAAATATTTTTTTTCATGCATGTGCCAGCGGAGTGGAATTATCACGTGCAAAGGAATAACAATTAAAAATAGTGCAATAAATGGCAGGTGTT